AATGAAGTGAGTCAGAGACGCCACCATTGAGCTTGCTAATCAGGATTTTAATTGACCGCCTGGAAGAGTGACTGAATTTATTAATTTAGTTTAGCGTTTCTAGTCCTCGTTGTTTGTGCAGACCACATTCTATCAGTCATTCAAGTTTGCAATGTTGACTGGTAAGCGCCAACTAGCACGAAACTTCGGTTTAGGCAAGGCTTCCTGTGGCCGATTACCTCCAACTATCTAATATCAACAATTCAAAGTGCATGGTGATGGCCAGCCACCCAGTAGGATGGTGGCCACACTGACTGATAGAATGGAGTCTGCGTTAAACAGAGGACTAGACACACTACACCACTTACTAACAAGTGTCGAATCAAAGGAAAAATATCCAATACAGTCAGTCCTACAGGAGGTCGATCACAAGGCTGAATAACTATCTCAGTGATAGCGTCTCTGACTCACTGCACTACTCACTGGTTGATTCAGGTTCGAATGTCAGAGGGGGACATGAGCTGTTTCTTCAGCGTGGTTGCAGATACGCCTTTCTGACTGATGGTGAGTGACGAGAAGTACTCAACCTAAGTCTAACGACAGGGATTCCTGTGGTCGATTGCCTCCAACCATTTAATATGGAAGGTATATTTTGTTGAACAGTAGTGTTCTTTATATTTAGTACGTCTGTATGCGTGTGTGTATTATTATTATTATTATTATCAATAGTAGTAGTGTTATTATTCTTTATTGAATAGACTTCAAACAGAAAGTGGGTACACACTTTAATTACTGACTTGATGAGATTTAAACAAATAGTCTTATTAAGTGATTCACATGACGAAAATTCATCAAACAAAACTGAGAGAGAAAAAAGTACCTGAAAACTGCACCATCCTTTATACATTTAAACCTTCAAATTGTTGTTGTTGGTTGGTTAAAGGTAAACAAGATAATTTTGACTCCATAATCCATATATATATATATATATATATATATATATATCAGTGTGAGAACATACTCGCATTTCAAATTCGGGGTAAGTTGAGTCTTCCTTTTTTCCATTCATTCTATTTGTAGCATAATTTTATGTATCTATAGCTGAATAATTAGTACTGGTATTTCACAGTTTCTCACGGAATTTCTTCTTTGGACATCTGACCTATCATTCACCCAACATTCACTTTCCACTGGTCAGCTAGTCTTACTCATCATGTCACTTAATAATGTCCCCTAAGTCTGTGTGTGTATGTGGTACGGTGGCCATATTGCAAATTTGACTGACTGATATAATTTAGTCTGCACCAAAGATAGGACTAGACACATTACACTAGTTAGTATCCAATTAAAAGTTGGAATATGTAGAATAATAATAGTATGAAGTGTAATTAAAATATGTATGATTATAATAGTGGATAAATATCAAGTGTCAAGCGGCAAAACACATGTAATATCATATATATATATATATATATAACATGTCACCAGATGTCTAAATTCTGGAAGGGAGTGTTTGATAATGCGTCGCATAGCATAGTGTGAAATATGATAAGAAATACTTCAAGATTGTAAAACATATGATTTGATTTTGAATGACAAGTGAGACAATTGAAATAATACTGAAGACAGTTCAAATTAATAATAATAATAATAATAGTAAAAATAGACGCAAGACGAGAAGGATATACCAATCAAATAAACAAAACGCAAATTAAGTAGGACCAGAGTATGAATGAGAATTACCGCACTTTAGCGTAGATGGATTCAGACTGTTAGAGTTGGAAGAGTTGAACAAAAACGTTTTCCGTATAATACAGAGATCTGACCTTTCTGGTTTTCGGATGGTCACAGGAAGCCTTAGCTAAACTGGTGAGGCGGATGATACGTAAACTGTACAAATGTACACGAGGTATGAATTGGAAGATATTAACGATATACGGCATAGGTTTAATTCAAATCACTGAAATGCCTATATACATATATATATATATATTTCATTGTCTGTTAACTCCCAGCTAGACTGTACGAAAATGAACAGCTTTCTATCAGCACTCAGCAAATGGTCTTCGTCCAAAGGTCGTAAACTAAATCCTTACAAATGTCAGACTGTTAATTTCAGTTTCAGATGTAAAAGAAAGTTAAATGTTGAAGGTGTTAATTCCTATGACCGTCGAAAAATCGATGATAGTAATATAGAAATCAAGTCTGAATTTAAGTGTCTTCGATTAATTCTTTCTTCTGATCTACCCTGGTCTACCCATGTCTAAGCGATTTCTAAAAGAATATTTCATCTGACGTCTTACAATAAGAAGTTTAGGCACTCAGGCATAACTCAACCACTCCTCCTCTTCCTCTTACAGTTTGCCAACTAGTGCGCATCTTACATATTCTTCTTCACGGTTCACCCTTACTCTTTCTGCGGGTTGCTTAAAAAAGAATATTTCATACTTCGTAGGACTCTGAAGAGTGTCAGTCAGTGGAGTGAGTGGTATCCCATTGGGCCACATCGTTGACACCGTCATTGATGATAGGCACTTGATTTCATGCAACAAGTTTGCTAAACGGATTTTGTCAGACTGTGAGTATCCATCGATGCACCCACAGCTTTCACCTTGTGTCTCCTCAGGTGAAAGAAGAAGTCTTTTCAGAAGACTTTATGCACGTACGTCTAAGTATAGAAATTTCATGACACCATAATTGGTGACACGTATTTTATGTGATGAAAATAGTGTCAGGGACGAAATAACTAACTAACCTTCTTTGCACTATTAAATCAACCATTTTCTCTTCACCCTTATTCCACCAAGCTTTATTTTTATTGTTCTTCTTATACTTACAATCCTCTCAATTTATTTTTTGTTCATTTTCTCACACAAAGAAACTTCATTTAAGCTGTGTAATAACTGTAAATTTTGACTTCCCCTACATTACACTATATCAACAGAACATTAGATTCAATACTCTATAATAACATGCTAAAATTTCCAAACTGAATCGACAATACTGTTTGAAACAAACCCACTGTTATTATCATCACTATAGTTATTATTCTCATTTTGTACTTCCAATATTTTTGAATTTACACCGTAAATGTGAACGAATTCCTCTGGTTAGTTTTGTTTTAATTTTATTTATATTTTGAGTAAATCAGATGCAAGATATTGTGACAAATGCTGATAATTCCATTCTGTATTATAAGTACTGCTTTTTGAATAAAGTAGACTATTATTATTATATATTGGCGGCCTGCCTAAACGTGGGATACCGAAAAATCCCATAGATACTTCGTAAATATTTTCTCCCTTTAATTACGTTTTATACTCTGACGAGTATTTAATGTGCTTACAGCTTGCTGATTTGCAAGTTTGTATTTATCGTGAGAAAAACCATAATCTTGGGGGTTGGGGAGTATCGTAATGCATGAGATAGCTGTTCTTAACTTGTGTTCTTAGTTCACAGAACGGATTCCTGAAACTTTTGTAATTGTCATTCAACCAAATTACAACATGCATTTACCGAAGAAGACAAAGCATAGACATCCTATGTAAAAAATTATATTTGTAAAATCTCAGCGAGATTGAAATGAGTAATTCCAACGTGTCGTTCGGCAATCTGGTCCGAACTTCTTCAGGGAAATTAATCAAAATTAACATAACAGAGGTTTATATATAAAAGGAACATCACTTGTTTTTAAAAGCTTTGTCCAATCATGATTCATAAAACAAGTATTAACAAGTATAATAAACAAAATTGTATGAACTGTGATCAAAATTTGACCTCGGACTTACAAATATTGGTCTACCTTTGTTAAACACTTTAGACAGAGTGTGTATGTGTGTGGGTAAACAGTTGTAAAACATTTCTTAACGTTTCCATAAGAAGACATGGACAGTCGAGAATTTTGATCAAGTATTAATAATTAGTGATACATATCCATTTTTTATTTATTAATAAGAATTTCCTATGTATCAGCTAACATCACACCTTCATGTCTGTTCACACTGTTAGTATCTAGAATTTTATGATTAGACGTATTTTCAAAATTATGGTGTTTAAGATTGGAGTTTAGTAGAAGCACCCTGTCGGACTTATTGTTTTGTCTTCTTTCTGAAGATTGAGCTGCTTTATTCGACCACAGCTCATAAAATTTTGTTTACTATACTTGTTGAATGACTCATGATTGGACAAAGCTTTTAAAAACAAGTGATGTTCCTTTTATATATAAACCTCTGTTATGTTAATTTCGATTAATTTCCCTGAAGAAGTTCGGACCAGATTGCCGAACGACACGTTGGAATTACTCATTTCAATCTCGCTGAGATTTTACAAATATAATTTTCTACAAATGTCTACTTCTCACTCGGCGCCCAAATATTTTAGAACTATTCTGTCAAATCTTGACGACAGTTCATTTGAGAGACATCATAATTTCTTGGTATGCCCTTTATGTCAAGCAGAAGTGTTTCACCTGGTCTACCGGCATGTAATAGTTCATTTGAAGATCCTGCATGCGGAGAAAATATCTTTCAACAAACAATGCTGAAAATTTTTTGGAATTCATAAACACTGTATAAAATAAAGCTATTATTATTATTGTCGTTATTTAATTCATTTTTAGATTTTCCCGTCGATTGATTCGACCGAAGTGCTTCGTCTCAGGTTGATATGTCGGCTTCTTGTGCAGATGCTTGACGATGTCTGGGCATGCAATTAGAAGTTAACTGGTGGATGGTGACTAGCAGTGGAATCTAAGATGAGCATTTCGTCCTATTTTGGACTCGTCTGCACAAGAAGCCAACATTTCAACCTGAGACCGAGCACTTCGATCCAATCAATCGACAAGAAAATCTAAAATTGAATTAAATAATTAATAGGACCTGTTGCACAAGAGGTGGCTCTCATGGCGCAAGTTCTCTAGTGGATAATTCTTTGGCTTTTTTGTAACTATGTACACTGGGTTCGAGCATCAGTGGGGAACATCATTACTCACTGCGGAATGCAGGTAAAGCTAGATGACGAGTCCCAAATAGGACGAAATGTCCGTCCTGGATTCCACTGCTAGGCACCATCCACCAGTTAACTTCTACTATTGTTAAAGTTATTAATTTGATGAGTACTATTCATATATATTTTAAATAATCATACGAGGAAGTGGTTTGCGGCCACACACATATATATACGGATAGATAGACAGACAAATAGACAGACAAAATTATATGAGTTAGGTCAGAGAATATTGAAAATATGGGGTGAGCTTTGAACCAGATAAGGTCGTTCAATATGAGGACTGTTAAATATTATATGATGGTGGCAATAATAATAATCACAATCATAACAATGAAATCAGCCAGAGTAGCACGATAAATTTTCAAGTGTTGATGAGCGATCAGAGTTTGTAGTGCATTTAGAACTAAAAATAAACATAAGCGCAGTAACGAATCATATGTGATCAATGCCGGGGTGTTGAGTAGAATTATGTATTATTGAGGAATATTTAAATACTCTTGCATAGCTTAACAAACCTGAGGACTGGTCACTGTTCGTCCCTGTCAACATTATTAATTAGAAGCTGAAGAATTTGATACAAATGAAAGATCGACTATTATGCATTGGAGAAGGGTCAGTATGAAGATGACGATGCTTTTCAACAGTAAGTTTTAAGTTATCCTACTTCTAATGACATGCCTTTATTTCAAATAAATTATGAAACGTACAGACGTGCATTATTATTATTATTCCCTTGGTTACCAATTGGAACATAGGCCTCGCTTCAACAACACATCTCCATTTTCTTCTATTTTCTGCTGTCCTCTTCAGCTGGCCAGCCCTACAATTTTCCATAACTTCTCATCTCCTCCTCCTCCCTCCCCAAACGACCTCCTAAGTGTCACCCTCACACCGACCACCTACTCGTCACCTACCACTGCGATTCCACTCGAGTGAAAGCCTGCATTGTGCGCGGTGTCATTCGATGTTCGCCTTCCTCAGCATATGTCCAAACAATCAATCTCCATTTTCCCCTACATATTTGTTGAGCGATCGGCTCTTGGTTGATTTTTAGCCAGAGTTTCTCGTTACTAATCATTTCTAGATGGCCGTCTGGCCATTTGATCTTCAGTATTGAGCTAGCCAGACAGCCAGCAGGTTTTCCAGTAGCTCTGTAACCTATGTCACCTCATTATGAAATCCTTCAAACAATCAAACAAAATTCCTGCAAACCAATATTTGAATAATAATGACGGTACCATCCTCTTATTCTGCACAAACCACACTGTTTTTTCTGCTTTATTCAAATTCATAAAGTGGAATAGGTGTGTGACGTTTCATGCTGAGGATTCTCATCGTATTGATTCAAAAACTAAGTCATTGTGTTTGTACGTGTTTCAGTAGAGGTAACCTGGTTTAACATGATACCATTTTGTCAATATCTCTCAGTATCGATTATCCCCAAAGTTCAAAGCCCATGACATATTATCAATATTCTCTACACCACTTTGTCTCTCTCTCTCTCTCTGTGTATATGGACAACTTCCGTACTTCTTTACTGAACATACAGAACGACTGTTCATCATTATCAAACTAGTTTGTAGGATGTTCAGTGATTGTCAGTGTAATCCTGTGATGTATTACTGAACTGTACTTATTGTCTTCGCATTTATCATCGTTAAACGGTATATATTTTGCTACAGTTTACTCACAGCCTAACTTCTCAGCAACCACATTGAAGAAACAGCTCATTTCCCCCTCTGACATTTGAACCCGAATCAACCAGTGAGTGGTGCAGTGAGTCAGAGACGCTACCACTGAGATAGTTATTCAGCCTTGCGATCGACCTCCTGTAGGACTGACTGTATTCGATATTTTTCCTTTATTGGACACTTGTTAGTAACTGGTGTAATGTGTTTAGTCCTTGTTGTTTGTGCAGAGTACATTCTATCAATCAGTCAAGTTTGCTACGTGTCGCCTTGTTGACTGGTGAGCGCCAACTAGCACGAAACTTCGGTTTAGGCAAGGCTTCCTGTGGCCGATTACCTCCAACTATCTAATATCAACAATTCAAAGTGCATGGTGATGGCCAGCCACCCAGTAGGATGATGGCCATACTGCAAACTCGGCTGACTGATAGAATATACTCTGCACAAACAACAAGGACTAGACACACTACACCACATACTTACGAGTGTCCAATCAAAGGAAAAATATCCAATACAGTCAGTCCTACAGGAGGTCGATCACAAGGCCGAATAACTATCTCAGTGATAGCGTGTCTGACTCACTGCACTACTCACTGGTTGATTCGGGTTCGAATATCAGAGACGGACATGAGCTAATTCTCCAGCGTGGTTGCAGATACGCCTTTCTGACTGATGATGAGTGACGAGAAGTACTCAACCTCAGTCTACACAGGGATTCCTGTGGTCGATTGCCTCCAACCATTTAATATGGAAGGTATATTTTGTTGAACAGTAGTGTTCTTTATATTTAGTACGTCTGTATGCGTGTGTGTATTATTATTATTATTATTATCAATAGTAGTAGTGTTATTATTCTTTATTGAATAGACTTCAAACAGAAAGTGGGTACACACTTTAATTACTGACTTGATGAGATTTAAACAAATAGTCTTATTAAGTGATTCACATGACGAAAATTCATCAAACAAAACTGAGAGAGAAAAAAGTACCTGAAAACTGCACCATCCTTTATACATTTAAACCTTCAAATTGTTGTTGTTGGTTGGTTAAAGGTAAACAAGATAATTTTGACTCCATAATCCAATATATATATATATATATATATATATATATATATCAGTGTGAGAACATACTCGCATTTCAAATTCGGGGTAAGTTGAGTCTTCCTTTTTTCCATTCATTCTATTTGTAGCATAATTTTATGTATCTATAGCTGAATAATTAGTACTGGTATTTCACAGTTTCTCACGGAATTTCTTCTTTGGACATCTGACCCATCATTCACCCGACATTCACTTTCCACTGGTCAGCTAGTCTTACTCATCATGTCACTTAATATTGTCCCCTAAGTCTGTGTGTGTATGTGGTACGGGTGCCATATTGCAAATTTGACTGACTGATATAATTTAGTGTGCACCAAAGATAGGACTAGACACATTACACTAGTTAGTATCCAATTAAAAGTTGGAATATGTAGAATAATAATAGTATGAAGTGTAATTAAAATATGTATGATTATAATAGTGGATAAATATCAAGTGTCAAGCGGCAAAACACATGTAATATACATATATATATATATATATAACATGTCACCAGATGTCTAAATTCTGGAAGGGAGTGTTTGATAATGCGTCGCATAGCATAGTGTGAAATATGATAAGAAATACTTCAAGATTGTAAAACATATGATTTGATTTTGAATGACAAGTGAGACAATTGAAATAATACTGAAGACAGTTCAAATTAATAATAATAATAATAATAATAATAGTAAAAATAGACGCAAGACGAGAAGGATATACCAATCAAATAAACAAAACGCAAATTATTTAGGACCAGAGTATGAATGAGAATTACCGCACTTTAGCGTAGATGGATTCAGACTGTTAGAGTTGGAAGAGTTGAACAAAAACGTTTTCCGTATAATACAGAGATCTGACCTTTCTGGTTTCCGGATGGTCACAGGAAGCCTTAGCTAAACTGGTGAGGCGGATGATACGTAAACTGTACAAATGTACACGAGGTATGAATTGGAAGATATTAACGATATACGGCATAGGTTTAATTCAAATCACTGAAATGCCTATATACATATATATATATATATTTCATTGTCTGTTAACTCCCAGCTAGACTGTACGAAAATGAACAGCTTTCTATCAGCACTCAGCAAATGGTCTTCGTCCAAAGGTCGCAAACTAAATCCTTACAAATGTCAGACTGTTAATTTCAGTTTCAGATGTAAAAGAAAGTTAAATGTTGAAGGTGTTAATTCCTATGACCGTCGAAAAATCGATGATAGTAATATAGAAATCAAGTCTGAGTTTAAGTGTCTTCGATTAATTCTTTCTTCTGATCTACCCATGTCTAAGCGATTTCTAAAAGAATATTTCATCTGACGTCTTACAATAAGAAGTTTAGGCACTCAGGCATAACTCAACCACTCCTTCTCTTCCTCTTACAGTTTGCCAACTAGTGCGCATCTTACATATTCTTCTTCACGGTTCACCCTCACTCTTTCTGCGGGTTGCTTAAAAAAGAATATCTCATACTTCGTAGGACTCTGAAGAGTGTCAGTCAGTGGAGTGAGTGGTATCCCATTGGGCCACATCGTTGACACCGTCATTGATGATAGGCACTTGATTTCATGCAACAAGTTTGCTAAACGGATTTTGTCAGACTGTGAGTATCCATCGATGCACCCACAGCTTTCACCTTGTGTCTCCTCAGGTGAAAGAAGAAGTCTTTTCAGAAGACTTTATGCACGTACGTCTAAGTATAGAAATTTCATGACACCATAATTGGTGACACGTATTTTATGTGATGAAAATAGTGTCAGCGACGAAATAACTAACTAACCTTCTTTGCACTATTAAATCAACCATTTTCTCTTCACCCTTATTCCACCAAGCTTTATTTTTATTGTTCTTCTTATACTTACAATCCTCTCAATTTATTTTTTGTTCATTTTCTCACACAAAGAAACTTCATTTAAGCTGGGTTATAACTGTAAATTTTGACTTCCCCTACATTACACTATATCAACAGAACATTAGATTCAATACTCTATAATAACATGCTAAAATTTCCAAACTGAATCGACAATACTGTTTGAAACAAACCCACTGTTATTATCATCACCACAGTCATTATTCTCATTTTGTACTTCCAATATTTTTGAATTTACACCGTAAATGTGAACAAATTCCTCTGGTTAGTTTTGTTTTAATTTTATTTATATTTTGAGTAAATCAGATGCAAGATATTGTGACAAATGCTGATAATTCCATTCTGTATTATAAGTACTGCTTTTTGAATAAAGTAGACTATTATTATTATATATTGGCGGCCTGCTTAAACGTGGGATACCGAAAAATCCCATAGATACCTCGTAAATATTTTCTCCCTTTAATTACGTTTTATACTCTGACGAGTATTTAATGTGCTTACAACTTGCTGATTTGCAAGTTTGTATTTATCGTGAGAAAAACCATAATCTTGGGGGTTGGGGAGTATCGTAATGCATGAGATAGCTGTTCTTAACTTGTGTCCTTAGTTCACAGAACGGATTCCTGAAACTTTTGTAATTGTCATTCAACCAAATTACAACATGCATTTACCGAAGAGGACAAAGCATAGACATCCTATGTAAAAAATTATATTTGTAAAATCTCAGCGAGATTGAAATGAGTAATTCCAACGTGTCGTTCGGCAATCTGGTCCGAAATTCTTCAGGGAAATTAATCGAAATTAACATAACAGAGGTTTATATATAAAAGGAACATCACTTGATTTTAAGAGCTTTGTCCAATCATGATTCATAAAACAAGTATCAACAAGTATAATAAACAAACTTTTATGAGCTGTGATCAAAATTTGACCTCGGACTTACAAATATTGGTCTACCTTTGTTAAACACTTTAGACAGAGTGTGTATGTGTGTGGGTAAACA